TCGAGTAAAATGTTTTCAAGTTTCAAATCTCTGTGACATATCTTATTCTATTGGTTTTAAAATAGAAATATTTTCTTTTATTTCAATATTAAAACATGGTTTTTAAAACTTATAAATAAAACGAGCTTTTAGTGGAATTTGTTTATTACACATAATATACTTTAATTTTAATGTTTACAGAATATACTGAATTCAAATAGGAGGCAATGTCTGCAGAATCTGTATTCTCCTTATTCTGTGATATTTTGACAAAAGATAACATAAATAGTTGAATGACTTGTGTTTTAAGGGTACACAAGCAAAGGCTATTCCTATCCTTGTTTATGCACATTGTTTGGGAATCGCTAACATCTCAACTTATTTGAAATAAATGGCTAAACATTGAGTTTAACTAAATTAAGAATATAACAATTATTTATATTTTCTCACATATTTTTCTATTATTCTGATAATAAATTTTATAATGAATTTAATTGTGTAATAAAGATATGATTGACAAACCTTATGGCAATAGTAAATGGCTGTCGCTATTTGTCGGAAAAGACGTCGGGCCTCACAATCGGACAACACTTTTCTATCGCTCACGTAATCATAAATTTCTCCTCCACTCGCGTATTGCATAACTAAAACAATTTTGTCTCTATTCTCGAACACTGTTTTCAAATGTCAATCCAATCGTTAATTTGTTGTTTTTATGATTTCAAAAACGATATGCAGAAGAAGTGGACAACTGATACCTTCGTATATATGGATGATATGCGGATGTTGTATGGAAGACATAATTTGGATTTCTCTTCGGATGCGAATCAAGTCCTGTTCGCTCTCTACCTTTGATTTCTTGATGGTCTTTATAGCGACCTAACAATTATCAACAGTTAAATCAAATCAAATTTTTATCATGTTATAGAAATTTAAAGCAATTTAATGCTTAATAGAACTTTAATGATAAGAATAAACTATACACTAATTATACGCTGTAATCAAATACTTTGTATTTCTCTAAATAAACTTATTCATTACTCGTCTAAATTTAATAAGATTTAAATTTAGAATTATATTTAAATTAATATTTGTATAGAAATAAATGCCAAGTATTGTTGGTGTGAAAAATGATGCTTTGGTTTGGAAATTATTTATATTATGTTCTTGGAATCGGATGCAAATAATCATAACATACAAGTATATGACAACCAAATATGAAATTGTCTACAAAAATGCTCAAGGTGTATTCATATGCGATATGTTTAATATATTTATGTTTTAATATAGCATGACTTAAGCTGTAATAACAAGGATGTGTTTAGTAATCAAATTAGAATGCATTGAAGGCATCCTTTGCCTTCTCTGTCGGCAACATATTATGCACAAAGTTTTGGCTCAAAGCAAATACTCGCCCCTTCTTTCCCCCAGAGGTGTCTTTAAATCGCTTTACTTCTAATTCATTGAATACTATTTATTGATAGCATTAGTATTGTATTGTGTATTAAATTGAGGACAACTTTATAAATATACAAAAAAAGCTATTTTTTGTTTGATTATAAATATCTAAAAAATTTAATTTTAGTTGATATTAATTTTTAATGAATCTTAATTGTATTGCATATAAAAACCGGTAAATTATTAAGTTTTAGTATTAATAAAACTGTTTTGCATTAATTTTTAATTATCTCAATATTACGAGTTAACAAGATTTATTGTTAACAAATGTCAATTAAAATATTCAACATTAACATTAAGTTAACAATAGAATTAACATTTAACGCATATAAAATTGATCACGAGTCTAATGCAGTTTATCCAAATATTGTTATAAGTTATAAAAATAATAGATTAAGCTAAAGTAATAGACAACTATGACTTACAGATATTAACAATTTAAACTTAATGTATAAAAAATAAATTAGAAAGTAATTAAGTTAGAGGACCTCCTGTCCGGTGTCTTTATTGATGGCAAGTTGTACTTTGCCATAAGTACCCTGACCCAATTTTCTCATCACTTCAAATCGTTGTTTCAAACGATGTTTTTTCTCAATTTTGCCCATAATTTTGAGGTCATTTCCGTCACTGGACTTGTGTTTCGGTCGTACGGACCGGGAGTTGGTTTTTGGCGTGTCGTTGACAACCATTTTAATATTTATTTATCAATTATTAAAATTTACATCAATCTTTATAAACATATGCAAAAATTAATAAATATTAATTGCAATTAACGATAATTTAGTTATTTTTGAAAACAGTTTTTATTGAATACACGATTTCATAGAATTAGTGCACGAAATAAATAAAGGATTGAAAAGTTGAGGCACTTTTGGATAAAGTTATAACAAAATGTAAAAAGTTTATGCAATCGTCAGTCAAATGAACTAAACTCTGGTTTACTTAAGAACTCGTATATCGTATGTAAAGTAGTGTTGAATGCGATCACAAATTTGGCACTAAATCAGTGACTCCAACACCAATCCTACTCTATGTATGAGAATCGCCCACACATTCAATGGCTTATTATTTGCAATACTATTCATTTCAATACACCATTTCATACGCTATAAACAATAACTATTATTTCATATACAGTATTATATAAGACTTATAATGTGGTTATAATAAGTTGTTTTCACAAATAATCCAACCATAGAGTGGACACAGAAATATTCGTATATTACTTCAGTATAACAAATATTTTATCACTAATTCATTCACTTTAAGTTTGTTTTAGAATTTGAGTTCAATATTAAATAAATAAATATTAATTAAATAAAAAGTAATTGAATTGAAAACAATTGAAAATAAAAATAACAAAAGAATTAAAGTTTTGAATTTAATTCAAATTAAGGAAATGAGAGACAAAATGAGTTTAAGAGCATACATACAGTCAGCATATATGCGATACATGTCTCATCCCTCTCATCCCTTACATCCTAATGCTTACAACACTTTTCAACTAAATTGTGCTATAATTAGAAAGTGATGTCTTCTATAGTATTTATTGGATGAAAGCCATCATCTTATGGCACAACCAAACCTATGATCAATGAAATACTTGTTTTATCATAACTTTTACAAATGAATGCTTTGAATATTTATTTAAGTATTGAACTCAACCATAGCTTAGCATTACATAACTGTAGAGAAACCAAACGCTCTCCAATTAAACTGATTTGTTATCAATATTATTATAATGGTATCAAATAAATAATAATTTATCACCAATAAATCATAACATTAAGTTATAACTTATAACACTAATGCACTAATTTCTTATAACAGGAAATGCAACGATCATTTTACTCCATATTTGCCTAATTATCAGCTATTAATTAACAATTTTGCATTTAAATTAAACTAAATAACTATATTCTTTTAATTGTATTAATATTTATATATTTAGTGGGCATAGTGGGAATATAATTTAAAAAGAATTTAAACGTGTAATATTAGTTTGAATTGATTAGAATATATGCTAGGTATATATTGGTATACATATAAGATCAAACGGGATCTCAAATAATGAGATATAAAAAGTAGTACATTTGGTTAATCTACAGTTTTGACACATTTGTGATATAAGAATTCAATTACATGAGAGGAATAGTGATAATCGTTGATATCTTATCAAACGTTAGACTGAAAACAATTGATAATTAAATCAAAATAAATCAACTTATAATAAGAATATTAGATATTAATAAAAAGACAATTGTTGCCAACTCTGGTAACTATTAGGCGATAGGCGTACGACCGATAGGTGTGTCTACAATACCATCCCATTTGTTGTATATTTATATTCAGTTAAACCCAAAAACCCTTTTAAAACACATTATTGTAAACATAAAGTTATTTGAACGCAATCTCATGAAATATATTTTAGTTATTTTCAAACATTTTATTTAAATTATATTTTAAACGTCAATAAAATTAAACAGAATTTAATTCATCAATCATACAATACAATAAGATTAGATACTTTTATTTAATAATAATTAATCAATAAGTTTATATAACTTTTAATATAGAAATAAACATTAAATGATAACAAATTTTATGTTTAACTAATTTTTTCTAACAATAATCAGTGTTTTCTTAATTTAAATACTTATAAACTAATTTAATATTGAAATAATTGCTTTTAAAAATAATTATAAGAAACAAATAATAATTTGTACAAAACCTGCAATGAATTCAAATTCCTAACTTTAAATTCACGTCTTATCACATGTTTATAGCGAATGAATAGTAAAAGAATAGGGATTTTGCGAATTAGTTATTATTTTATATTTCAATTTAAAAATAGTTTTATTTTAGAAGATTTCGTTGATTTATTAAAAAAATATATAGCATTTTCAATATTAAAACTATTAATGATTTATAAATGTAATCAGTTTTGTTGTAACAATTGAGATAACAAAAAAATAATCTATCAAAACAGTCCATATATTTCATAACTTATACTTAAATGTTTTTCCTAACTTTCTAATAATGCTTGATTTTGTTGACATATAACTACGGTATAAAAAAAACTAAAAACTCAAATAAATTCATTCAAATTAAATACACTATAAAAATGTCGCAAAAAGTGCATGAATTGGAAACATCATTAGATGGCATTCAATCTTGTATTGCAATAAATATAAACTCAAGAATTTGTAACAGAATTGATACCAAAAACTAGAAAACAATGTAATAAATCTTAAATAATAAGCAAACTCTAATTGTTTACTACAAATGAAAACATTAATTGTATAAAACTGTGCATTAAATAATGCTAAACAAGTGAAATAGACTTTCTAATTGGATATCACTTGACTTTCTAATGTTTATTAATAAATTATATTTTGTTCCCAATTTATGGAATAAACAATTAAAATAATATAAATATACCTGTATATAAAAATGATATTTTTAGTGCAATTTCTATAATAAAATCACTTTTTCATAAATTTAATCAAATCTTTGGTAGAATTGATGGGACAGTAAGACAGTGGCAAAAGAAGGTGCCGTTACTATAGCTCATCGTTTATACGATTCTGGACTGCCATTAAATTTGATTCAATAGTTTTAATAATTCTCAACGAATTATCAATAAATTGCTTCAAATAAACGGGATTTTGCGCTATTTGTGAGGCGTCTAATGACACCGGATTTAAATCATTCATTTTGGACTCAATGGACCAAATTCTGGACAAAATAAATACATTCAAAACTAAACTTATAATTAATGCAAAAACAATTAATTTCATTAACAATTCGTCGCTCAATATATTCGCAAATCGACTATATTTATGGCCAGAACTAGTCGTCGGATCCGATACTATACCAGAACTTTGAATAGAAGTACTGATCGGAGAGATGGAGGCGTTGACACTCATATTGTAATCACTGTTTTGGTCGTCAATCTTTCTATGAGTGATTTGGTTAACAGTTGCACAACAATCCAAATTGCGCTCCATTTGGACCCATTGGGGCAGTTGTTTGGAGAGATCGGCCGAGAAGTCAGATATGCCTTGAATTGAATTCTTCTCAATGGTTGACTTCATTAGAGCCAATCCCCAGACATTCTTCCTAAAGACCACTTTCGCGTGTACTTTCATTCGCGTCACTTCTTCGGCGTCTTGAGTCAAACACCATAACGATTGCATCAGAAAAGTGTCGCAATAGGGTATGCCTTCGTTAACGACTTCCGCTTTAATGGTGTAATACTTGCCGGCAGTGCTGTCGGCCATAAGTCGTTGGCATTCAACAGTTCGCGCGGACTTCACGAGAGCGTGATTGAGGGCCACTGTATAAGTCAATTGTCTGCACTTGTCTTTGTCGGAGTCCTCCCATTGAGTGAGTTTCAAATCGTAAGTTCGGCGCGATTTATGCAAAGCGTGGATAAACTTATTGTCCGTAAACAACAACTCAAACGCGCGATCGACAGACACCGGCAATGTTTCGTCAATTATAAGCTTTCCGTCGTGTGATTCGCACCGACACGTCGATGAGATCGTCTGGGAATCGTCGCAGTCTTCGTAGACCTCGCGATCGGCCATTATATCCGTGTCGACGAAAGCGCACGAATCGGGCGAATCGGTCGCATTGAGCGGTTCCGTCTGTGGTCCCAAAGTGTGCACCAAATTGTCGCTGTAGTACTCCTCGTCGTCATCCGAAGTCAAGCCCAAGTCTTCGCCATAACTGTAGTGAACCTAATAGTCAATTCATTCAACCATTAATTGAATGTTAAATTGTGTGCAAATCATGCGATAAGTGTTACCCAATGCCAGAGTTGTGCGGAACTCATGGGTTGGTCTAAGAGAGCGTTTTGCCAAATCCTAAATAACATGACATAAGTCTTGTCTCGAGCGCCAAATGAGGTGAACACATATTTGTCGCCAGAAGTGGTCACCACTTGAATGGCGTTCGGTATGACTCGAGCCGTATTGGCTTTAGTTAATGATGTGATGTCTCGACACTTAATCACCTAAAATACGAGTCAATCATATGATTGAAATGAAAAGACATGATTTGGTTGCGTGTCTTCACACTTACGAGACTTGTTTCCCATTTGAAAATATTCGCGTAAAACGAGATGTAATTCAACGACAAGTAAAGCCTTCCGTGAACTAAGATCTCCTTCTGAAGAGCACACGAATAGTCGACAACAAGTCTCTCATTATTTGGCACCAAATTAGAGAACAATCGCTTAAACTCTTCGTGTCGTGTCTTATACGACGGATTCAATATATTGAGCCACGAATTGGTGGACCTCTTCTTCTTGTTGCCACTCCTCCTCACGTCCGTCACATTCACATCGGATCCGACGCCAACACTCGTGTCCGATGTGTCGGCCGATGGCTGACTAGCGGTGGTGTCGATCGTCTCATTGGATCCATTCATCACCGGATCGTTGGACTCATTGCTATTGCAAGCGGTGGACAACTCTTTCATGTCTTTATTGCTGCCATTGAGTGATCGTCGGATCAATTGTTGTTGAGATGCGAGCATTGATTGCATTGGTTTTGATACTAAATCTGTAACCAAAAGGTGTAATGCATTTCAACGTAACTCTAATTGACTGAAATGTAAATNAACTCTTTCATGTCTTTATTGCTGCCATTGAGTGATCGTCGGATCAATTGTTGTTGAGATGCGAGCATTGATTGCATTGGTTTTGATACTAAATCTGTAACCAAAAGGTGTAATGCATTTCAACGTAACTCTAATTGACTGAAATGTAAATCTATTATTATAAAGTAAAGGATTGCATTTCAAAAGTAAAGAGCGTTACACACAACCAAATATTCATTACACAACAAGGGGGTAGGAGGATGTTGAAAACTATACAGGGGCTGATTGCTAGTATAGTTATAAAATGACTTTCATTTCAATGTTTTGATTATCAAATCATATGATTACTCAATTGGTTATGGACTTATTGGTGTTCATGTGGTTGGTCTCTCCCTCTATAATAACTTACGTAAAACAATACAAAATCCCTCTCAAAGTGCGGTACAAAAACAGAAGGGTGGGCCCAGCAAATGACCGACGTCGTAACCGCCAGCTATTAGACCCGATTCAGTGCTCTTCATCTGATACCTCTTCTCGATGGTTGTGATGACAACATTCACACATCCATTCACTATAAAGCCCTGAAGAGCGCCGGCCCAACACATCCAGAACAACACCCATCTCCGCGTCCGGAACTTCTGGAGCACTCGTGGTCTCCAATAACGCCATCCGCAGGCGTTGTCCGCGTCCTCCACTTCATTGGGTTCGTCGGTCTTCAATGAATTCAATGAAATCATTTCTGTCGGCATTTGTCCACAATTTGCCACTTCCTTGTCCTCCGACTCATCGCAACTCATCTCTCGCTCTCTTTAACTCTCAATACATTTATACCGCTATTCAGTCCATAGATGTCATAGAAGTGCACTAAACCTCACTATAACTACAAGCAATAGAAAATTGTTTTATTAATTTTTAAAAGTTTGTGTTTTATTAATTAATTTGCTGTAAAGTAAGGTATAATGATATGATGATCAAGTGATCAACTTTGCAATTAACATAGTTTTTATTGTTTTTCTGTATATTATATGAATTATTTGCGATAATATTAATATTTAATAAATTTTCAAATATAGTTTTATTTGAGAATTTATGATATTTAATGTTTTATAACGTTTTATATGTTTAAACATTTATCGGATGTTTTTGTTGTGGAGTTTTAAGTGTTAAATGAATGACACAATTATTTGAAGAGTAAATATATTAGCATTTAATTTGATTTGAACTTTGATTAGATTGTTGTGCAATGAGTGCCGAAACCATCGTCAGAGACATCTTCGGCGACAGCGATGACAGCGAAGACGAGTTTGAGGTTTGAGACAATAATCACGCATTGGTTCCTTGTTTTACACTAAAAGTGTTGCTTTCAAAGGGTTTTGAGGGCAAGAAATCAACGGCTGATAAAAGACAAGACGATTCCGATAATGAAAAGGACTCGCAATCAGATGGCGATGAAGACAATGGTGTCGACCGAAGACGTGATGACGAAGCCGTCAAGTCTGACAACGAAGACAATGACGACAGTGAAGACCGAGACGGGAGTCAAACAAAAGACAATAACGAAGATAATGTTGACGAGAGAAATGATTCACAAGAAGTGGTTCCCGATGTGTCATCCGATGACGAGTCAGACGGCGAACGCAAACCCAAAGGGTATGTAATGACCACTGATTTAAGAGATGAGTGTTTGAATGGATTGTGTATTGGATTAGAGATGAGTTGGTCTATGATTTCGATATAATGCTTCAGAGGAAGAGGGAAGAGAATTATAGGCGACGGAAGAGGAAGAATATTGACATAATTAATGATAACGACGACGTGATCGCAGAAATGATTCAACAGATGAAACAGGCGGCAGATGTGAGTGAACATTGGTGACCATTAATAGCAACAATTGCTTTAATGATATGTTTGTCATATTTAGGATGACTTTGAGTTAAATAAGAACCGAATGACTGCCACCAGAAAACTAAAGATGTTATCATTAGTTGTGACTCAACTCCGGAAACTAGATTTACGCGAAGCCTTCTTAGACGCCGGCGTTCTCGGAGTGATCACCGATTGGTTGACTAGACTTCCAGACGGGAGTCTTCCGCACCTCCAGATTCGGGACAATATGTTGAAAATATTAGTAGAAGTGAGTCCATTGTGTCGGCACTCGTTGTCTCCATTGCTTCCAATGTGTGTCTTAATGATGAATGTCTTAATTTGCAGTTCAATATCGATGACGTCGAACGGATCAAAGCGAGTGGTATTGGAAAAGCTGTGATGTATTTGTTTAAACACCCGAAGGAGACGAAAGACAACAGAAGGATAGCGTCGCAACTGATAGCGAGTTGGTCGCGACCCATCTTCAACCTCGACACTGACTTCCATTCCATCAGCAAAGACGAGAGGGAGAAGCGAGACGTCGAACACATGAACAAAACAAAGAGAATCCGTTCCGATTCCACTGAAGGCGAGAGTCCGGCGCCCACTCCTACCAAACAAAAGCCGGCCGAAGAAAAGTATAGTTATTTAGCGTTTAGTTTAAACATTCATCTCATTTAATACCCACACAATAGAAATCTGATCAAACCTGGAGAGAAAGGTTGGGTGCCTCGCGCTCGCGTCCCAATGCCCTCCATGAGAGACTATGTGGTGCGACCCAAGTCTTCAGGGGATATCGATCTCAATAGGGTATGAATGGTTACATTTCAATCATTTGTTTCATTTGTGTTTAACTGTTAATCGTATTCAACAATAGAGTTCTTCGAGTCAGAAGAGAATGAGTGACAATCGAATCGATAAACATCTGAAAAATTTTAGGGAAAAACAAAAGGCATCGAAAGCTCAAAGAGCGGTTCCCATCAGTATTGAAGGCAGAAAAATGGCACTTTAGTTATGAATTAGAATTCTAGAAAAACACTTTTATTTTTATTTAATTTGTTTTTTATAAAATGATGCAAACATTTCTTCGCTATGTATTATACAATAATCACATTCTTATGTCTTGTGCTGAACATACAATGTATCTCTCGAATGAATTCCTGCCGATTCCAGAGTGCCATTGGAATCGTTGGTAAAGAATTCTTTTAGATTCCTTTTGGGGAAATTTGTTATCAAATCGTAATCTTTCATATTATAGCCCTTCGAAGAGAGGTATAAAAATAATGCCTAAAAACAACAAATTTGAATGAAATTAAATCATTAATAAAAATTGTCTTAAGAATAATTGAAACATACCTTTAATTGTGAATCTGAAGGGAATATAACGTTCTCTCGATTCCCGTCGGGATATCTGACGACGAATTCGAATTTGGAACCATTTTGTGGCCCTAAGTATAGTTTGTAATCTTCTATCACTTCTTCCTCTTCTTTGGGTTTACTCTCTTGTGAACTGTTGTCCGAAAGACTCGACTCTTTGGTATTGAGCGCTGAAGAGGAGGCGTTTGTTTTGGAGGCATTCGATTGGGCCCTAAAGTCTTCGTTATCGGAATCAAACGTTTCGAAATCACTGTCATCGACATCATTAACCGTATGGTTATTGCTGTGAACTTCGCCTTTAGATACTTCTTTCAATGAGGCGGCGATCGCAGCCTTTATCTGCATTTCTTCGCTCTCTTCGTAAAGCGCCTTATATTTCATATCAAGTATTTTAGAGAATTATAACACAATTCGGCAAAAATACCTTTTCGTCACTGGATTTGCGAACGAGAGTTGAGTTGGAGTTAGAGTTGTGAACGTTTGCGGGCGAACCCGACGGCGACGGCAAGTCATGAAGGAATTCAGTGACCAAATCACAGAAAGACACCGGATCTATGGTTGTCCACTGACGCAACTTCTCTCCTGTGCACATAAATAGGCATCAATTCATTGGTTCACACAATCCATGCAAACACTAATAAATACCAGTTCTCGGGTCGAGAATCGCCACATAAGGAAAGTCAGTCACGTTATAGAACTGCATAAACCTCTGGCCTTCGCTGTTGTCGTGATATGACTGCAAATGTATTAATGCATCGATTAATTGCAAACTCGTTGTTAATATTGAGGATTAGGGGATTCAATACCTGCCAGAAAATGAAGTGTTCGGTAACAACGCTCTTAACGGTGGGATTACTCCACACATCTCTGTTGAGGACTTGACACGAGAATTCTCTGTGATTTTGAATGTTAACCATAAGCCACTTATTAAGTCTCTGTCCCTCATCTTTAGCCTTATTTCGATAGCAAATCATATGATATATTGTAGAAGTGATTCTCAATCAACAGTTAATGGCATTAAATGCTTACCATATCAAGAGTTCCTCTAAACATGAGGTCCAGTGGAGGCCGAAATAGGTCTTCGAGTGTCCGCCGCTTGTTATCAGTGGAAGAGTTGGAGGGATTGTTGGCGTCGGTTTCCATCTGCTGTTCGTGCCATCCTTTCACACAAACCAATCAATCAATCAATTAGTCTGCAAAGAGTGGACTATTGTCTCATCACATACTGGCCTCCTGTTCGAAGTCCCGGAAGGCGTCAAACACTGAGTTAGAGTTGGGTCGACGCAAAGTGGGTCCGCCATACGAAGAGCCCGGATAGTCATCGACCAACACCTGACGCACCGGAGGAATAGGCGGCCGAATGTTATCTCTAGAAATAGACACAATAGACATAACAGCAAATGAAATGGCTGTCAAGACTATGGCATTCAATATACTCTTGCAGTGAATCAAATGTATTGGACTCTTGAGGTGTGGAGGGATTGCGATTAGCGGGCGCTCGACTCACACCGGAGTCCATTTGCAGGTCGTTTTGATCGACAAACATATTGATGGCTAACTCGAGGTTCCAGTTACACGACTCGAGCGCTGTTCGCGCCACCGATGCGGTCGCTCCTATGGTTGCCAAAGACATCATCAGTGATGACACAGACTGTCATCGCATGTCATGCCATGGGATACATACCAGTGATTGAGCAGAACTCGTCGACCGCAGCAGACATTACCGCCTCAGACATCGGCGTCGCGTCAGACGTCACCGAAGGGTCCATTGATTGGCCGATGAGTTAGCGATGAGATAATTGACTTCTTGTGTCCACAAGTAGTATATGTTTAGCGTTTAAATGAGACTAAATGTGAAAACTTATTGTCTTTTATGGACTCCTTCTCAACGACTAATGACACAAATGAGCGCTTCTTTCAAACACACAAACACTCGTCCAATGAATGGATGAGTCATTCGATGAATACATGTATATAATATATTCTGTACTTTCCATGCATTCTATTCTAACACTAATGTTATGTTTATATACTTTACGTACAATTCAATGATATTACAAATGCAAAGTTTGGTTCAATTAATAATACCATTTGTATTAATATAATGATTGTACTATAATTGATAAATGAGTGATGAAAAGCCATAACAGCTTAACTTGTGCATGAAACTTGACATATTGTGTGCTGGTCACTTTATAGTGGTCGATTCAATGGTTGAATTCAATACTCAAGTTATGATTTATCCTAACAGTAATGCAAATGTTAATCTGGTTATGACTTTTCATCACTCAAATAATCTTCTCATATGGACTCACTTTCCATCACAAATACAGTTCAAATTCTCTATAAGAAACTCTTAACTTATGATAACTTGTGTTTCATAAGAATTGCATTTTTGTTCCTTAAAATCGTTAAATTTAAAAATATTGCTAATATTTTGATCGTTTCTTATGGAGTAAAGATTTTTCTTTCATTTTTATAAATGTGGTTAAAATCGAGTTATTTTTAAAGAAATGTTACATAAATATAGTTCGGCAACAAATTGTTCGAACTCGTTTCTTTAGAGTAAGTGTTCCAAATAGCTCTGTATTGAACCGTACAGTACAACGGGATGCAATGAAATTGATTTTGATTATGTATATCTTATTTAATTTTTAAAAATACTAATATTGGACCTAGATCATTAATTTATATATGGATTTGAAGCTTGAAAGACGCATTTTAAAAATATTTATCTAATGATATACTTAAAAATTTAATTAATTACTATTTTTGGTAAATAAATTTAATTTATCACAAAAAATTTTAAAAACTCAATCAAGGCCTAATTTGGTCAATATGTTATTAATAATGTCTTATATACCATGAAAAATACCACAATACCAATTACTGGTTTCTATTTAACAATTATCCATCAAATAATTAAAGTTAAACAATAGAAATCGGGGCTAATTTAGATAAAAAATCCGAAAATGATTTAGAAACTTTATGTCAAACTTTACATTCTATGACGCTTTAACATAGAAAAGTCTGACCTTATATTTTAAAATGATTGCACGCCTCAGTTGAATTAACATAGCGCCCGATTAACGCCATATTTAGTCTGGATTTCTTATTAATTATAATATATAGATATTAAGACATAATTGTTTAAATTTCTATTTAAAAATATCATCTAGGTAAAAAGTTATCCTAGTTTTTGAAAAATCAATTTCATTGCATCCCGTTGTAATGGATTTCTTATTAATTATAATATATAGATATTAAGACATAATTGTTTAAATTTCTATTTAAAAATATCATCTAGGTAAAAAGTTATCCTAGTTTTTGAAAAATCAATTTCATTGCATCCCGTTGTAGTACTGTATACAGTATTTTACCATATACTTTACATGAAACCATTAAATGAGAATCATGGACAAATAAATGAGAAATGACTATATTTGCTTACAATCTTCGATTAATCAACTTTTAATAAAAATCATGTGATTTTTCACCTTTACATTGTTACTACAAAAGCGCATGTGTAAAAAGCGTGGATCCAATTATGTTTAGTATTTCACACAGAAAAAGATTGCAACAGTGCTGACACATGCGCTTTTGTAGTAACAATGTAAAGGTGAAAAGAGAACTGGATTTGTTGTGGTTAGGAATATTTATGTAATACTGTATTATAAATTAATTAATTATTTGAACAAGCACATTTTTTATTATTGGAAAATACAAGTAACATATAAATAAATAAAAACTAAACCGTCTTGATTGAATTCTATTGCGAATATTCGGAATATTTTAAACCAGAATAAATATATTCTTGGATTCTTGTTAATACAGTGTATTGTTAAATGTTTTAAAAGTTAGGAATCATATAACCGTAAAATAGGCTTAATTTGTGTGTTGTTTTGTAATACAGTACTCGTTGTTTGAGCACTTCATGGCTCATAACTGGTGTCTCGATCGCAATAATTGGTCATCACTTGTATGCAGAGATCCCGGTTGCTATGGGATACTGTGAGCTCTGTGAGCCAAACACTACAGTATTGGCAATGTACAGTGGCGACGATTGCACAGCAAAGGCGTTACCAAGTTACAATATATTGTCAATACTGTAACAGAGATCCCGGTTGCTATGGGATACTGTGAGCTCTGTGAGCCAAACACTACAGTATTGGCAATGTACAGTGGCGACGATTGCACAGCAAAGGCGTTACCAAGTTACAATATATTGTCAATACTGTAGTGTTTGGCTCACAGAGCTCACAGTATCCCATAGCAACCGGGATCTCTGCTTGTATGTGAGACCCGACCTAACAATACATTCACACAAAAGTTGAATAACTTTTGCATTCAATGAACACAAGATTGGATGCAATGATTGCATGGCTTTGCGTACACAGAGTGTACTCTATGTATGCATTCATTCATTATGTGTTGATTCACTCCATTACACAATGCATTGAATGATGCGTTCATAACATCTAACTGTATAATATATAGAGATGTTGGCATCCAAGAAAACACGCTGCTATGGTTACGCCTTTAACTGTACAAAATATTGTATAGTGTGTATTAGAGCTGTTCATCAATAATGTGGGCATATATAAGAAC